AAATAGAAAAAAAATGGAATAAATCGCAAATTATTCAAAATATGTATATGACATACTTAATAAAAGTTGAAGAGCTTTGCAAAATCTATCAGAAAAAATCAAAATATATAGGGTGTACCATTTAAAAAATTTTAGATTTTTTAATTTTAAGTAGTTGAAATTTATAAATATATTTTGAACATCCTGTAGCATTTAACTAAAATATCTTAACATATATCTTCTGTTTAATCTCTATAGAACTCTCATACCAAATTTTGGTATTCCAACTTCAGAAACAATGGTACCATTGACATTTTTTTACCACACTGCAATTTAACATTTGTATAAACAAATTTAAATATTACAAAAACTATTAATTTTAGGTATATAACGTTATATATAAAAAGGTTATAGAATTTTACGCAGAATCTAAAAGTGAAATAAAAAATAGGGCGTTGCCTTTAAAAAAACAAATGTTATATCCGCCACACTTTTTTGAAGCACCCTGTATACTCTATAATAATTTTAAAATGTGTATCTTAAACTTCCCTATAACTCTTGTATTTAACATTTTTTTGTAAACCTCGAAACAAATGAGATAATGGACTTTACTCTATCGTTGACTCACCCTGTACAAGAGCAAAAACTTTTCTATTATTGATATTTTGAGAAAAATGCATTCTTCATAAAGAATTTTGCTTGTTCTAAAATTGTTAACCAGGTTGTAGTTGTATTGTAATAATGCTTACTAATCCGGGGACATACTATCGGAATATTTTTTAATATAACTTGTACAAAAATAAATATTTATGAAAACCTGAATCCGGAGTTTCATTTTTATCGAAATTAATTCAACGAGGACCTCTAGTGAAATTAAGAAAGTATAAAAGTGCCGAAGCACATCGTTTAGTGAATTTTGATAGAATCAACCGTGTGAAAGTCAAACAAACAGTCGGATGAAGCATGAAAATCATTTTCTGATTGACCCACTAAAAACGATCTTATTTTTTTCTCCTTCATTACCATAATACCAGGTGTATCTTCTTTTAAGACTACCAATTATAAAAAAAAATAAAACTTGATAAATCTTGTACTTCTCTTTTTAAAAATATTAAGAGAAATGTGTATTTTATCTAAAAAAAAGAGTTACAGTACGTCTGCTGGATCTGTGTCTATGAAAGGAATGCGGACAAAAAACATTTAAATAAACAACAATATATTTTATACGTCGACTTGACGAGTACGTCACCGCAAATCGCTCCGCCCACTCATTTTATTGGCTACTTGCAAATTTATCGAATTTTTATTGATGGGACGCGTCGTCTAATTTTTTTACGAAAAACATGGAGAGAATATCGTTTCCCCTCTCACGGATACCCCGTAGCTACAGAACGGACAGACGTACTGTACATTAAACCGTTTTAATAAAAAAGACTGTTTAATTTGTGATAACTTTGTAATATTGTAATTTAAAGAATTTTGTAATTGTACCTACCTAACAAAAAGAATTTTGAAAGAGAAATTATTGAAAAGAAATTTGCTAATGCTAATGATACAGGATTAAAAAAAGCCTGCGTCCAAGATGGTATCTAAAAAGATGATGTTCTGGTGTATTTTACATCATTTCAATAATTATCTCTTATATCACCAAAGGATCCAATCTAAAATTTATCAAACCAAAATATTTTTTAAAATAGTAAAAACTAAGATCGAAATAGTTTAAAGTTATAAAAAAACCACGACAGAAGAGTGAAAGTGTTAATAATAAAAAAAAGCATAAATACCTAAGAAATTATTAATCACAAAAAAACGTCTCTTATAAAATGGTTGTCAACTCTTGTACCTACTTTTATTAATGGATTAGTAGCTGTTACAAAAAAAGCCGCTATTTGTTCTTAATAGTCATCACTTTAGCCATATTTCTTAACAAAAAATATATTCTACAAATAATGATGATTGGTAATTTGGAGGATGGCAAATATAAAGGTGTCAAGTTGAAAAATCAACACGTAGGTATGATGCCTTGTATAAAGATATTTAAAGGTATTTAACATAGAAAAGTAAATATATATATTTACTTAACAAATCAAGAACATAATTTGTCATGCTTGCATGGCTGATTTTGGCAAATATTAAGTTGACTTTCAGCAAAAAAAGTTTGTTAAATATTTCTAAGATTACAAAAAAATTCAACGCTCCTAATATAAATTATTGTTAAAAAGATAATTATACAATTTTGAAAAATAAATGAAATATTGTACCAATAATATAATTATCTATATAAAAGATATAGAGTTATATACCTAAAAATAATAGCATTATCTATATAAAAGATATAGAGTTCAGAGTTCTAGACCTTTCAAAACTAGATTATTCTAAAATACGAACTAACCAACAACAAAAATAAAAATTCTTTTATAGGTACTGAATATGTCGTATAATCGAAAAAAGTCGTTTAGTTGGTTTGGAAATGACGAATATTGACATTTACCATAATATTTTAAATATGAAATAACAGCTATCTTAATTTCCAAGCCCACTCTGACGCCGTTCTTTGTTTAAACACATAATAGTATATTAAATTGTTCAATGATAGAAAATCCGTATTATTAACGCACTGCATCCAAAATCCGTAAATCTACGGATTAATCGATAGTTCTGGCAACACTGTCTCCGGCAACCACTCACTCTGTCGAGTGAAAGCAGAACTACGGTACAGTATTCTTTATCCGCTGCACTGTAAACGACTATCAGCGCTCAGCGGCGCAGTGCTAAACTAAATCTCGGAATTCTCGGACAGGCTGATGGTTCTGGTAACGCCAGCTACATGTCGGACAGGTTTTGTGCCACGAAATAGCCGATAAGGTTGCTTTTTATTTATTATTCCTTCAATCAACGCTTTTAGACCCAGAGCCCACTGTGCGTCTATTTTGTGAGAAAAGTTGCGAACTAGTTTCTAGTTTAGCCTACTAGTTGCCAACTATAAAGGCGCATTCTCACGACTCGTGTACTTGACAACCATTTGTTATTGGAATATACTTGCCATGTCGTGAGAACGGTTTCCTTGGTCACTCGTCACGTCGCTACTTTCTGTCGGTAAATATAGCCCGAGTCAAAGGATCACAATAATTATTCGTACACTTGCCAAGTGTATGTACTTGGCCAGCCTTGTCTATACTTACAGAGGCGCAAAAAAACGACTGCGCAAATAATTGTACTGTTATAGAGTATGTCCCGTTTATTTCCGGATCGTAGTGTTTTTCGAGTTAATTTCGGATAATATAAAACCTTACAACAATAATCTATACTAATATATAAAATCCGTGACTAACATACTGATTAATCACGATCCTGCTCAAACCACTCAACGTAAGAAGCTCAATTTTGGCATACAGGTTGATTCTAGGCTGTAGAGGTTCGATAAGAAGGGATTTTTCGAAATTCCAGTTCCAAGAGGGTGAAACCACCCCTCAAATATTACAATATTTTTTATTTAAAAAACGGCCAAGTTGCCGAAAAAACGCTTAAACACGTATATTTTATTTTGTTTTTTTACATATTTTAAGATTTTTTAAAAACGTATACAGGGTGTTTCGAAAAATCTGGTCATTGATTAATCACGATCCTGCTTAAAGCGCTTGACGTAAAAAGCTGATTTTTGGAAAACAGATTGACTTTAGGGTCAGGGACTTTAGGGTTGTGGAGATTCGATAAGAAGGGATTTTACGAAACTCGAATTCTAAGGGGGTGACACTATTCCTCAAATATTAAAATATTTTTTATTTAAAAACCGGTGAGTTTTTCGGAAAAACTATTAAACCCGTATATTTTATTTTGTTGTTTTACATATTTTAAGATTTTTTATAAATTTATACAGGGTGTTTCATAAAATATGACCATTGAGTAATCACGATTCTGCTTAAACTGCTTGGCGTTTAAAGATGCTTTTTGGTAAACGGATTGTCTGTGGGATGTAGAGGTTCGATAAGGAGGGGTTTCTCGAATCTCAAATTCCAAGAGGGTGAAAACGCCCCTCAAATATTACAATATTTGTTATTTAAAAAACGGTTAGTCTTTCGGGAAAACGCTTGGACAAGCATAATTTATTTGTTTTTTTTTTGCATATTTTGAAATTTTTAAAAAATATCATACAGCGTGTTTTTACCAAAAAGTTGGGGAATTTCTTAACCACGATTCTGCTTAAACTGCTTGACGTAAAAAGCTTATTTTTGGCAAACGGACTTTTCGAAAGTCAAATTCTAACTAGATGAAACTACCCCTCAAATATTACCAAGTTATATAATAATATCGCCAAATTGTTTTTTCTCATGCTGACATAAATGTGAGAAAATTTTATCCAGTTTGTATGTTAATGGAAATTCTTACTTTGCTTTATCATCACCATTACAAATGATTAATTCGACGCGAACGAAGTCGCTGGTACACGCTAATAGATTATATAATATTAAATTTACATTAATAACTTCAATATTGGCGACATACCTAAATCGTTCTCACAGCAATAAATAATGAAGTGGACAAATGAAGACTACACGGGAAAATCAGATATGTCACATTTTCATAGAAATTAAGATAGCGATACAACTTTATAGACAAATATTAACGTCATTCGAGAAAAAAAAGCAATAATTCGCTTAGTCCCAGAGATATTACAGCTTGGTTATTTTGCCGTACAAAGGAAAAACCAGAGTAGTCCACGCGTAAATGGCAAAAACCAGAGATGTACTTACGTATGGGCGACAAGCATGCATCTTGTAATTAGTATTGGGCCTTAGTGTTAAATATTTTTATAGATAAATTCCTTTCTATCTGAATAGGTAAATTTAAAATTAAATCGAGGATAGAATTTGACATTTATTAATTAAAATTTTAAATGTCAATTTATTTTATCAAAAATACAATGTCAATTATAAAACAAGAAACAAGATTTTTTCAAGATTATGGTACTCTTAAATCGGAATGATGAATGAAATATAGCGACAATATCCGACAGAACGTTAAAGTCCGCGTTCGCCGTGCAGCAGAAAACCTTACAACACTTTACTTGGTGGGGCTTACAACTCATTTATTACACTACAATTCACGTCCGGCAATCTATTGTTAATTAATATCACATTAGCATCCCATTACGAGCAAATACAAATACACAAGATGAATCAAAACATATACTTGGTAAAGTTATGTAAGAGGGTGGTTTGTCTTATACCGCAAAGTGAGTTACATAGTGCATCACATCCCAAACGTGCCGTGAGTAGTGTGTGTGAAGCTCTGGATCACGTGGAGGAAGCTAGACCTTATGAGAGTATTCCTGGACCGAAGCCAATACCATTTCTTGGAAATACATGGAGGTTTATCCCTTATATAGGTAAGCTGTGGAATATGTTGATAATAAATACCATAAATAACATAAAAATAAATAAAAGTTTCTGAAATGTAACTCTTTACCGGTTCAATATTAGTTATTTTGTTTATGACAATTTTTCATTATTTTGTTTTTTTATCTCAGAATTATGTAGTTTTAATGAAATCTGCTTCAATAGTTAATTAAATATATTGAAATATCTTATAATGTAATGAATAATTTTATTTTATGTCATGTAGGTTTATCTATTTAAAAAAAAATCTGAGCACCAATTACAGAGAATTTTTTCGGTTTTTAGCTGAAAACAAGTGTGTAGTTTAAAATATTCACCAAACCAAACCAATTTTCATACAAATTTCAAAATAATGAGATATAAATACAAATTTAATAAATATTTTTTATTAAACTATTGTAGGGGTAAATTAAATGAAAGTAAACTGGTATAAATTTAAATAAGTCCACAAACTAATTTCGATTTTGAAAATAGCTACTAACTGCATACTAACTGTCACTAGAAACTTCCCATGACGACACCTTTGACGAAACTAGCCCTCCTGGTTGCCATTTTATTGAAAAATCGCTTTTTATTCAAAATCTGTGCTAGATAGGTATAGGAAACCCTAATATAGTTTGAAAGAGCATTCAAATCTGCTTCGGTTTGTTTTAAAAAATACAGGGTGTTGTATTTAAAATAACGAAGTTTTTATATCAAATATATCCTTAAAATAGATCAGGAATTTTTGATACCCCTGTATAAATTTAAGAAAGCAATACCATTTTTCAATAAAGTTTATTTCTTTACCTTTAAACTCAGCACAAAAATTAATTCTGAAAAGTAATGTACAGTGTGTTAATAATCTATTCTATAGTAGCATGCAAATTTAAATATCTTTAAATATCTCAAAAACTAAAGATTTGAAACGTATTTAACCCTTATAATAAATGCCTTTTTTGGGTCCAAGAATCCAAAAATGAAATAAAACACCAGGTGTTCCATAAGAAAATATTTAACTTTGGTATAGATCTTAATTCTGAAACACCCTGTATATTTCAAAATAATTTTAAATTGTGCACATTGCCTCCCCACATATACCCACAAAATATTCTGTTTCTACATCTTTCCGTTTTTGTATAATCAACCGCGGCGAATGAGGTGCGCCACCCTGTACTATATTCCAATTTTCATACAAATTTCCAGTTATTCGATGAAATTCTGAATACATCGAAAAAATAATATCTTGGTATATTATTTAAATAATTCTATTAACAGATTATAATATCTGTCACATTTCATACCTATTTTTAATTTATTTTTTATCTAAAGAATGAAAAGTTTGAAAAGACTTTTTTTAGTTGTTGGGCAAAAATCCAATAAATAATTTTAAATATTAAAATTTCTCAAAGATTTTATCAATTTTCTACACTTTTGAAAGTTTTTAGGAATTCCAAATTAGCAATACAGGGAAATTCCACCCATTTTGTGATGCTCTTTATCTAATTTAATTATACAGAGTATGTCACTTTTGTCTAAAATTTAAAATTGATATAATGTATTAAAAAGGAAACTTTTAGCTTTGGCTACTGAGATTTAGAAGTATAAATACATTTTTAGTTTATTTAATCATTGTTTGTTTAGTCATCTTTTTACCAGTGTCGTAGGTAATATAATTTTTTCGTTTTAGTTTAATGAAATAAAAATACGACACTGACTATCTTAAGAATTAAAATTAGATTTAAAATACTTATTTATTTATTATCCATCAGTAAAATTGATTTATTAAATTTGTATAATCAAATTACAGCTTTGAAGAGAAATAATTGTCAGTTAAGAACATAATAACTAGTTTAGAAAAAAAGAGTGTGTAAATGACTTTTATGTATATTTTATTTTAACAAATTAAAAGTGTATATAATAAGGTATACCAGGTGTTTCTCGAAAGTGGATCAACCCTATATAGAACTTTTTCATATTTTTTCAGATAAAAAAACGAGATTTACTAGTGAAATAAAAAAGGTGGGTTTCCATTTGAAAAAAAAATGATTTATGATAATTTTTTAATCGCTCAATTTCATGACGCTAAGGCCAATATTATATGACATTCGAATAGCAACATGTCTTTTCTTTATGCCCCAGTGGATGTGGTAATCACTAAATTTGTCATTTAGGCTATACAGATTTTTTTGACAGGCAGTTTTTTCCTCCAAAAATTTTAAATATTTTTTTAAATAAATTTTTACGCTTAATGTTAAATATAGAGTGTTTGATATCAAAATTCACATAAAATTTTACATAGAATTTAAGCATGTAATAAAGAAAGTTGTTGGCAACTTCCGGTATTTCCGGAAGTGCCGCCATATTAAAAATATGTATAATCGATAGATCTCGTAGTGAAATAATAATTATTTGCAAAAAATCTCCGATCTAGATATTATAGTTCTCTAGAAACTTCTAATGCACGCTCGGCCTGGAACACCCTGTATACTTTAGACTATAAAAACCCTATTTTCGACTAATTATTTTTACAACAAATTTGATAAAATTATCCTGATCTAATAATCTTTGAATTAATTGAGGGAAAAAATTGAATAATAATGGGGATTTTTACTTGAACTAGTAACTTTTCAAATTTTAGGGGACTTCCAAATCGAACATATAGACAGAGTGGCCACAAAACTGTTTAATAAATATGGAAAAATAGTCAAAATGGAAGGATTATTGGGAAGACCGGATATGTTGTTTCTTTTTGATCCTCGTGACGTAGAAATGGTTTATAGAAGGGAAGATTTACTACCCTTAAGACCCTCTATGCCCAGCCTAAACTACTATAAGCATGTTTTGAGAAAGGATTTTTTTGGAGATATGGCTGGAGTTATAGCAGTGTAAGTTCATCTAAAAAGTACACAGTGAAAAATTAGTACTTCTTAAATTTAAAATTTAGAGTTTTTGTATTTTTATCCTTGTTTCGAATTTACATATGTTTTCTTCATAATCATACAGATATACAGGATGTTCCAGAAATAAGTGCAAGTATTTTGATGGGTGGTAGATCTTGTCAAAAGAAACATTTTTTCTCTTTACCGTTTTTCAATTAAGTCCAAAATAACTGAGTTATTTTACTTTGAAAATTTCCAAAAAAAAATGATTTTTTGTTAAAATTTTGAGAACTACTGGATCTTTTCTGGATTTTCTTTCATGTAAGTTTAAGCTACTACCTATGTTGTCATATTATCAAGAAATTATGTTTTTTAACTTAAAACTAAAAAAAATCTCAAATTTTCAAAAAAAAAAATTTCGCTAAAAATACCTCATAGGCGTGTTTCTGAGGCCGAAATATACTACCAGTTAAAATACTGGCATTTATTTCTGGAACAGCCTGTATAATAATAGTAAATTAAATTAATTTTGATTACAACTTCGAAAAAACAATGAATGTTTATGACATATAGATACTTAATTGACATAATTGATGTATACTTAAATGATGTAATTCTATTCTTTTGCTGTTTTTTTTTCATCACAATCTTACGTCTTGTTGCAAAATTTGTACAAAAACCATTGTGTTGCCAAATGACAATTGGCTTGAATTCTAAACAAAAGTAGATAATTTGAGCCGCAATGAAAGTTTCAGTGAAATTTATATTATCGTTGACGCTTTTACAAATAAAAAATATACACAGTAACATATGTATATCGTTTAAAAACATAAAAGCCTGATGATTTCTTTTAATGGTATTAATCTTCGCAAAACCAAGGCTAGTTAATTTTATCTTGACCTTTAAAAAATACAAGTTTTTCAAGAAATATTTATATTTTTGCATAAAATTTAAGAATCGCAAAAGAATCTGTGTGGTAGGTATTAAATTACAGAAATCTTAATAAACTGTTAGAAAAAAAATATACTATATTGTATATCAAAACTAAAATTAATTACTCACAAAATACGGGGTGTTCCATTTGAAATATTAGAGAGAAAATACATCTATAATTTTAATTTACCCTCTATACCGGGCCCACCCCTATAACTTTTATTTTTTTCAGATAAAAAAACGAGATTTGGTATGTTGGTAGAGGATATAAATTAGGATTAATTGACGCATTCAATTGTTTTGGTCACTTTCTGTTTCACCGGAAATGACAACAACTTTTCATTTTTAAATGGTACCCTCGGTATTTTTTACTTTGTCAATAAAAAATGACACTTTGAATAGAATGACATAGAATGACGCTTAAAAAAATCGAATTTTAAATTTCAATCTAGAGTGCCATGGCTGTGTTAAAAACACTAATTTTTAATCAAGGAGTCTTGAAAAAATAGATTTAATCCTCTAATGTTTTAGTGTCTTATCCTGGCCGGTTAAAAGATGCCCAAATCGTATTTTTAATCATATCTCATTTTCTTTCAAATGGAATGAGAGTGGCTCATTAGCAAATTTGAAAAAAACTTTTTTTACCATCAATAATTTGGTACCACACACTTGGTATTTCAAGTCAAATTGTTGTTATGAACTGCATGTTACAATGTCAAATAAACAATATGCAAAAATGTCAAAAGTTGACATCTATTTAGTGACAATAAAAATAAAGTAACAAAATACCGAAGGTGTTATTTAAAAATCAAAAGTTGTAGCCATTTCCGGTGAAACAGGAAGTGACCGGAAACAATTGAATACGTCAATCAATCCTAATTTATGTCACATACTAACATAACAAATCTCGTTTTTTTATCTGAAAAAATAAAAAAGTTATAGAGGTGAGCTACTTCTGAGACGCCACCCGGTTTGTGCAACACCGCCAAGCGATTGTATAAAATAACAGCATTTCATTGAAAAAAACTACCGTATGATCGAAAAAAAACGGCGTCCAGTTGGCTGGGAAATGAACATCAATGACATTTCCCATATAAATTTACATTTAAAATGACAGCGATCTTCATTCCATAGCCATCGCTGGCGCCGTTTTTTCTCGATCATACGGTATATTAATACGTTGAAAAGATACATTTGAACCGTCCTGTACATTATATAAAAATATTTTTATAATACGAGCTACCCTTGCACTAATATTGAGTGAAAAAAAGTGAATATGGAGCTTTTATTGATTGCTAGTTGTACACCCTGTATTGGATGGAAAGAAAAACACATCTGTAGAACCCAGGAATATGGAAGCAGCCGTGGAGAAGTATCTCTGGAAAACCAAATCTTTCATAACAGTTTTGAGTAATTTTTTTTTATTTTATGGTTAGATTGGTTAGTTTTTCGATAAATATTGTTGTTATTCATGTATTGATGTATCATAATTACATTAAGCTTTTATTTAATAACTAATATATCATCATTATTAATTTTATTGCGACAAGTACCAAATTACGAAGACATTACGTACCTGAGCACTGACTTGAATATAATGTATTCAATGTGGTATAATAATTACGTTAGCCTAAAATAAGCGTCTGGAATATTAATTAAATGAATAAAACATGGGCGTCCCATTTTAGGCACGGTGAAAACTGGCAAAAATTCAGGTCCAAAGTGAACCAGATTATGCTGCAACCGAGGTCTGCAAAAATGTATACCGAGGCTATATCGTGCACTGCAGAACAGTTCGTGAGAAGGTAAAGTACTGGAACTTATAAAAAATTGCATTTTTAAGAAAACGAGATATTCTTTTGTGTTCGTGTACACTGAAAAAACAAAATAGTTTAAATAAAAAACCATCAAATTTTGTTTGAAATTTCTGAAGAAAAGATATTATCACATATCAAAGGCATTGACAGACATAGTAGAGTACCAGTATTAATTTTTGCATTAATTTAATGTAATTATACACTATAAAATAAGAAGTAATATTTATTAACTACAATTTAAACTGCGATATTGGTCTTTTCAGTTTTATCTAAACAATTACTAAATTTTCCTTTTTTGTTTATCTTTTTATTTTTAAAAGTTTTAAAGTTATACCATTTTTTCTAGTTTCTTTAGATTTACATTACCTGATGCTCTATGAGTATGTAGGTAAGTATATATACATAAAATGTGGTGGAAAATGTGGTAGATATAGCGAGAGCTAGCAACGTCGGAAAAACAAGTATTTTGAGACGTCTAGCTCTTTGATATATCTTTTACTATGCTCTTTAGAACAGCATGTGGCCCGTCTGACTGCCGGTAAACGTTGCGTTCCCTACTGCGCCTTGAAAGAAGATCCTATATTTTTATGATTCCTTTAAATTCTAGTATTGAATATAAACAGACCGAGTCTCCGTAGCTCAGCGCGTAGAGGTTTCGCCTATCAAGCAAAGGGTCAGTCCTAACCTAACCTAACAACTTTTTTATTTTATTTTCGTTTATATTCTGATAGTAAAGTATTAAATATTTGTTTTTTTTTAATCACCAGAATTATTTAATACTTTACTATCAGAATATAAACGAAAATAAAATAAAAAAGTCTTTGCCCTGACCCGGATTCGAACTCTGAATCCTCGATTCGTAGTTGGAAACTCTACGCACTGCGCTATGGAGACATGTTCGATTTATATTCAATACTAGAATTTATAGGACTAAATTAAAAAAAAAATATATAGGATCTTCTTCTGATGCGCAGTAGTGAACGCAACGGGTATCGGCAGCCAGACGGGCCGCATGCTGTTCCAGAGAGCATAGTAAAAGATATAACAAACGACGGACGTCTTAAAATACTTTCTGGAAAACGTTGCTAGCTCTTAGACTATAACTTCAAACCAGTTAAAGATAAAAAGACAAAACGGATGTTCCAAAAAGTACCTAAGAATAAATTATAGTGACTCGTATGTTCATCTGTGTAGTGTATTTAAGATATTTTATACTATATTTTAAATTTTTTTCATTTACTTCTAAAGATACCTATAAATAAAAATAATACAAAACATACATATTATACAGGGTGTTTCAAAAAACATGTGCCATCTCTCGTGGAAAGATTCCTAAAGTAAAAATAGGATTTATTTTTTATATCAACATATAGATTCGATTCTGCTTTGTTTTGTAGCCATAGGGTGTTAAAGTCTTAATTTTTTTCGATTTATTATAATTTTCTTCCAAGTACTTTTAGCGTTTTGAATGAAATTTTGAGGGTAAAAGTTACTATAAATGTGACATATTTTAAAGATAAAAAAATGTCGACATATTCACCAGGGACGTGCATATGGGTTACCCTGGAATATTTTTCTATAAAAAGCATGTACGCCACTGATTTTTTTTTCTCTTGTTAGCGAAATAGTGTAAGCAGTTTAATGCCCATTAAAAGTTGTCTCCTGATTTTATCGATTTCGGTCTCCTTGATGAGATAAACGCAATTTTATTAATTTGCCTTGATCCAAGTTTAATAGCAACCTTTAAAAAAATAATATCATTAACTTGCGAAAGTTTTAAATAAGTACTCATTGATTCGTCATCAAAAAATAAGATAAAAAAAAAATCCTATAAACATGGGTATGGAAATGCATAGTTTTAAAGTTACAGGATGTCAAAATTTTTCAAATTAGGTTTTTTATAATTATCTTAAATACCATTATTTTTATTTTGAAATTGCTGTAGGTTTGGACTAATAGTAATAATATTGAATAACAATTTAGGTAAAATATGTAATTTATTAATTTTATTTTTATTTTTATTATTAATTTATTTATTTATTTATTAATTGTGATTAATAAAATTGCGTTTATCTCATCAAGGAGATCGAATTCGATAAAATATCAAGAAATTACTTTTAATTGGCATTAAACAGTCTACACAATTTTGATATCAAAAGAAAAAAGGCAGTGGCGTATATGTTCTATTTTGAAAAATACTCCAGTGATAACCCATATGTACGTCCCTGATGAATATGTCGACACTTCTTTAGGATTAAAAAATATGCAGCACTTATAGTAACTTTTACCCTCAAAATTTCATTCTAATTAGTAATACTTGAAAGGAAATTATAATAAATCGAAAGATTATTAAGACTTTAACACCCTGTAGCTACAGCTACAGGGTGTTAAAGAAACATAGCAGAATCGGATCTATGTTGATATGAAAAATAAATCTTATTTTTACATGAGGAATCTCCCCACGAGAGATGGCACATGTTTTTTGAAGCACCCTATATAACTACATAATTATATCCATATAAATGTAGTATTACATTTTAGATTAGCAACAATTCAAAATGAAGAATCAGAAATGCCCAATGATTTTTTAAATGAAATCCACAAATGGTCTTTGGAATGTAAGTAAGTAATTTTATGCAACTTACCAAATCTGAACTATTTTTTAACAGCTCTAGCAAGGATTGCTCTTGATATCCGATTGGGGTGTTTGGACCCATCTCCTCCGGTAGACACTCAAAATCTTATCGACGCCATCAACACTTTCTTTATAAATGTTCCAATTTTGGAACTGAAAATACCATTTTGGAAAATTTTTAACACAAAGACTTTTACCCAGTACATAGAGGCTTTAGACTGCATTAGAGAGTAAGATCCTAAACATAAGTAAGAATATCAGTCGCGCATGTTTATTCTAGAAAATTAATTTATGAGAGAATAACATTTCTATAATTTCTTTTTAGAATATGTTTAAAATACATTAATCTATCAATGGAAAATTTGAAACACCTAGAAGATGATAGTAAATTGTCTGTAATGCAGAAAGTTTTAAAGAAAGAACAAAACGCTAAACTGGCCAGTATTTTAGCACTTGATATGTTTTTAGTAGGAGTTGATACCGTAAGAAATATACTGTCTCTTTCCAATATCAGGAACATAGTAATTATAATTTAATTTTACAGATTTCTAACGCAGTGGCTTCAATTCTGTATCAACTGGCTATCCATCCTGATAAACAGAAGCTCTTACATGAAGAAATCGAAAAAGTATTGCCTAAAGTTGGCTCAAAAATATCGAACAGTCATTTGGAACAACTTAATTACCTTAGAGCCTGTGTAAAAGAAACTATGAGGTTAGTCTTTTATATTAAAACTAGCGTGTACCCGCGACTTCGTTCGCGTCGAATTAATCATTTGTAATGGTGATGATAAAGCAAAGCAAGAATTTCCATTAACATACAAACTGGATAAAATTTTCTCACATTTATGTCAGCATGAGAAAAAACAATATGGCGATATTATTATATAATTTGGTAATATTTGAGGGGTAGTTTCATCTCGTTGGAATTAGCAAAAATACGCTTTTTACATCAAGCAGTTTAAGCAGAATCGTGGTTAATTATCCAACTTTTTGGAACACCCTGTATGATTTTTTTAAAAATTTCAAAATATGTAAAAAAACAAAATAAATTATGCGTATCCAAGCGTTTTCCCGAAAGACTAACTATTTTTTAAATAACAAATACTGTAATATTTGAGGGGCGTTTTCATCCTCTTGGAATTTGAGATTCGAGAAACCCCTCCTTATCGAACCTCTGCACCCCACAGTCAACCCGTTTGCCAAAAGTCAGCTTTAAACGTCAAGCAGTTTAAGCAGAATCGTGATTACTCAATGGTCATATTTTATGAAACACCCTGTATAAATTTTTAAAAAATCTTAAAACAACAAAATAAATATAAGTGTTTAAGAGTTTTTCCGAAAAACTCACCGGTTTTTAAATAAAAAAATATTCTAATATTTGAGGAGTGGTTTCACCCCATTATTGGAACTGGAATTTCGAAAAATCCCTTCTTATCGAACAGAGGTTCGATATAGTTCGAGTGTAGAGACACCATAGAATCAACCTGTATGCCAAAATTGAGCTTCTTACGTTAAGTGGTTTGAGCAGGATCGTGATTACTCAGTGAGTCGTGAGTCGTAAGTCAGTCACTTAAGGATTTTATACATATATTAGTATAGATTGTCATTGCACCTAGATATTTATACATTTTTAAAAATTGTATTTTCTTATGTCATGTAAAAATCTCTTCTTTCTAAGATTCACTGAGACGTACTTATAGTCGCTTAAAAGCGACAGATGAGTGCAGGGTGTCCCATTTTCTTGTGTTTTATGGCGGTTCTCCTTTATGACTAGATATAGAAAGTTACGGTTTTCACGTCAATTGTTAGTTTTTTTATGAAACTATAGTTACAACATACAGATTTGTTCTAGCTTTGGTTCTAGCATTCTTATTAGTTTCTGAAATACAGGGCCAATTTAAAAATATTGCATTTTTCAACCCCCTTCGTGTAAAAACTGTAAAAACTGAGTACCGTAGTGATTTTCACGTAGAATTCAATGGCTTATAACTACTGTAACTAGTTTTCATTTTCACTGAGAGCTGTTATTTTTGAAATATGACTCAAACATAATGTCTTTTTTTAAATGGAACACCCTGTATATTATTTTTCATACCATGTGCCTTGTTACGAGCTTTCTATAATTATGTTTTTTGCTACATCAAAATACATATCAAATGTAAATTGTAACAGGGTCACAGGGTCTGGCAATAGTGCGTCGGGCATCTGTAGCGCCTACCTAAAGTATGTACGAGGATGTATTTCAGGAAAATATTTTAACATCTATGATGGCTCAAAAAGTGTGAGTGGATCGGGATGCATTTTTTAAACGAAACACCTTGTATATTAATTATTGCATTTTTGGTTTCCTTTCTTTTTGGACACTTTACATAATCCTAAGATATGAGTAAATATATTTCGATAGTTTCAGAGATATTAATAAATAAATAAAAATATATATATATATATCTTTCACTCTTTCAAAGAAATTCTTAAAAATACAAGAACTGTCCTGAAATCAAAACTAATATTAGGTATTTACTTTAGACGGTCTGTACTTACTTTGCTATAAACATAGTAATCGTAAATCATACAGGATGTTCAAAATTCTACGCCAAACTTTCTAAAATATAAAATAAATTTCCTTCGTTTTTTTAAATGGAACACCCTGTATATCATTTTTCAATAGATGGAGAATTAAAAAATTAACATTTTTTGTATTTAGAGTATTTCAAAATTTTTAACGGTTTCGCAGATAATCGCGGTTTTGTATTTCAAATGGCATTTTCCACAGTAAATTTTTATCAAAGCCACCCAATGATTTTTCTCTAACATTTTATGCAATTTTGCCGTTGAAAGAACCATATGAAATAATATTGCGCGTATCTGCGAAACCAAAAATTTTGAAACACTTTATATACAAAAAATGTTCATTTTTTAACTCTCCATCTAATAAAAAAATAATAGACAGGGTGTTCCATTTAAAAAAAATAAAGAAAAATTATTTTAGAAAGTTTGGCGTAGAATTTTGAACACCCTATATGATTTAAGATTACGATATTTATAAGTAAGTATAGACCATCTAAAGTAAATACCTAATATTAGTTTTGATTTCAGGACAGTTCTTGTGATTGTAATAATTTTTTTAAGGAAGGTTGAAAAATATATATTTTTTGTTTATTTATTCATACCTATTTACTAATATCCTATAGGGCTATGTAAAGTGATCTGAAAGGAAGCCAAAAATGCAATAATATGCAGGGTGTTCCACTCACACTTTTTTTGGGCCACCCTATAGAAGAAAACATTTTCCTGAAATCTGAAGTACATCCTCGTACATACCTGTACATACTTTATGCACAGATCAATCAGATCATACAGATTATAAACTTATCGTCAAAAGCATTGTTTTTCGTAGTTCCAATTTTTGGAGTCGCGCACTAGTTAGGTTACTAATTTGCGCACAAGCACGCCCACTTATGGCCTCTAAAATTGTCAACAGCGACTGACCGGCCCAGTTATTACGCTGTTTAAACGGGAGTTTGTTTTTGCGCCCAAGAAAATTTACTCGTTTGCTCATCATCATAAAGTGCTTTAGGTTTGCACTTAAACTAAATTCTCAAGTTTTCTATTCTAGGAGCTACATAATATGCCCGGCACACTATTGCCGAACCCTGTATAAAACTAATCTTCGCAATAATAAGTATATTTTGTTGTTAAATTTATAGAATGTATCCTGTAGTTATTGGAAATGGACGTCAAACTACCTCAAACTGTACCATTGCAGGATACCACGTTCCCAAAGGAGTACAAGTGATCTTTCAGCATTACGTTATGAGCAATCAAGAAGAATTCTTTATGAAAAGTAACGAATTTCATCCAGAAAGGTGGTTAAAAAATAACCCCTTGTTCAAAGACACACATCCATTTGTTTCGCTGCCTTTTGGCTTTGGAAAAAGAATGTGTTTGGGCAAAAGATTTGCTGAATTAGAAATTCAGATTTTACTAGTAAAGGTATATGCTTGTTCTATATATGAAAAATTAGGCATGTTGGAAAAAAACGGCGTCAAGATGGGTTGAAAACACTTACCTATTAATAAATATGTGGTGAGAAATGACAATACCCCATATCATTTTAATTTTGCATTGTCATTCTCCAGCCATCTTTGATGCCGTTTTTTTTAATCATATGAAAAAAAATGGCGTCAATATGACATGAAAATAACGATCGAACACATTTATAACTTTAACGCTGCTTTTTTTCAATTTTACTGTACTAGGCATGCTTTGAGCAATATTTTTTTCTTAGATATTCAGCAAATACAAAGTGGAGTATCACCATGAGCCTTTAAGCTATCACATTCATCCTATGTATACACCAAATGGACCATTAAAACTAAAATTTTTAACCAAATAATACTTTAATTGTGTCTAAATATATATTTTGTAAGATAAATAAAGAAATTAAAAAATAAAAATATACCACATTAGTTAACAATAACCACATTGACTTTGGTTGGTAGTATTATTTACAACATGTCCAGTCACTTTCAAAGATTCATTATTTGAGTTTGATGGTAAAAACCTTTTATTATTTTTCAGCTTATGAGCCAAAGTTAGAAAAATTGCTTCAACATTATCACATTCTGAATCTAATCTTGCAGATGTCTCAAATAACTAAAAATAATTTAGGCACAAATTTTATAGAGTAGGTAAATGTTGGAGAGTATATTCTTGATCTTACTGGCATGTTATGACTGTCAGCTAGTATTTGGGCCTCATTAGTTGGAACTGCTACATTTCCATCACACTTATTTCCAATAAGGATTTTTGGTATATCTGGTAAACAATTCATGTTCGACTCATCAATCCATTTTTTTATTGAACGAAATGAACTTGGATTGGTCACATCATAGACAAAAGCTACTGCATCTGTGTTTCTTAAATAAGTACCTACCTAGTATACCTATAATTCAATAACTTACAAGTGTCTTTTTACCTGTAGTAATGCCGCACCATAGACATTCGATACCTTTCTTGACCAGCTGTATCCCATAATTGTAAAGTTATAAGTTCGCCGTCAATTTCAACTGCACGACTTCGAAAATCTACTCCAATTGTAGCCTCTGTATAATTTAAAAAACTTCCTTCACAAAACCTACAATTATGAATGAATGAATTGTTTAATTTGCATTACTCACAAACCTGTAAGTTAACGTTGTTTTTCCAACATTTGTGTCGCCAATAACAATGACTTTAAAAGTTTTTTCGCTGTTGTTACCAGTAGAAACTCCATTAGATGATTGGTTCATCGTTTAAAAAAATATAAGAACAGAATGTTGGATTAAAAATCAAGTAGACTGTCTATACACTACATGAAAACTAATTTTTTTACAAAAATTGATTACATTCCTCCGTTATGTGTAAATCACAGATTACATAGATTACAGCATAGAGAAATATAAAATAAAAGAGTTGTCATTTCCATAGTCAAAAGTAGGCAACACGTTTAACGAGGATCGATTGTAGCGCACCCTTGAGCCCTAACTGAACTAATACAAATATGACAGACGTAATCGGTAAAATAGGTATCTACATTACCTACCACAAAAAAGGCGGGCAGTTTAAATGCGAATTTAAAAATTTATGTGTTTTTAAAAATATTACGAAATCAAACTGCAAAAAATATAATGAAAATTTATTTTTAAAAACGGAATATTTGAAAAATATAAACTATTGTACACTTTTCAAATGCTTACAGTTAAATGCTAAATTAAATTTGATAATATAAAACATATACATATGCTGAATTAACCTCGAGGGGTAAACCGCTGATGAATTTCTGTACACTAATGCCAAATAATTTAATACTAATACCAATAATACTACGAAAACGCCAAAAATGCCAACATCTTGTACACCAAAATACACCAGCGGTATACCCCTCGATTAACCTATAGTATTATAAAACTTATTTAACAACACCACTAACAAACCATATAAGATCGCAGGGTTTGCAATCTATGCTATTATAACAGATTAAAATTTAAATAAGACATCATCAAAAATTAATTCACCTGTAAGTTGGATTTATAAACTCAGCAGTTGAAGTTTAGTTGAGGTAGCAAATGTTCAACACTGTGAAATCAAGGCGCGAATATATAGTCAGTTCGTTTTACGTTCATCGAGTTCAGAGATGGGCAATGTCTTTACATATCGAACTTGCTTTGCATGATACCCTTTCCTGGATCGTGTTCAAATCACATCATCGACTGAACAAAATATTACATGATGACCGTAAACACATCGCACAAAACAAAGTTCAAATCATAGAGAAATATAAGTTCCCCGGGAAATAAAACTTCATCCATCATTTCTGTACGCACAAACACAAAACAAACAAACAAAGTATATGCTACACAAAATAATTACAAAATTCCAAAATTCAAAACAAAATTGTAAACAACTGCAAAATACAAATAATTTGCTGTCATGTCACTTGTCAATCTTGTCATGACACGTGACAGCGTGACAGGTAGCAGGTGGCGACGCTTTGGAGCCCTAACTGAACTATGCAACATTATGGCCAAGTTACACAACCTTTCAAACACTCTTTTATTTTAGTTACTTTATGGATTACAGATTACAGAAACAGAACAGATGTAAAAATGTAAATAAGAATAATGAATATGAATGAACATGCACTGTTGCCAGTAGTTAGGACTTTAGGATGATATCGACATTAGAGATTTATTGCAATAAATTCATATATAAATATTTTAAATTTTTTTTTGTACTCCTTCAATTCCCCTCTGACAAAATCGTAAGAAAATTTTAAACTTATTCGCATTTCTACTTTACACATTTTTCTTTAATAGATTTTCGATATTCTATTCTTTATTAGACAAACTGTTAAGTAAAATTAAAAATTGTATATGATGAAGCCTACCATGATCTTATATAAAAAATACTCCATTTACAATATGATGGTCTATGTTCTTTGATTAACTTGTCACAGTGACAGATTGACATCATGTTGACATATTACAAGGAATTTTGTAAACATTTTTGGAAAGATGGATTGTAAATTTGGTTAAGAAGACACACATTTTTTAAAAGTAAATATAAGCAAATCTACAAACATTCTATGATTTTATAATATAATCATGGCCGAAGGCCCCCAGAATGTAGCTTTATCTTTGGCGGAAGAAAGTTCAATTAACGAGTTTGCTGCTCCAGAAGCGAGATTTGAGTGTCCTATTTGTTTATCATGGCTAAGGGACCCAGTTGTTACTTCTTGCGGTCACAGATTTTGCAGAAGCTGTATACAAGAATGGTTATTGTGAGTAAATTATGGTATACCTAAATTATTAGTTTACGTTTTTTGCTTTCAAAGACGAATTACTAATGATTCAGTTACAAAGCTATGAGATAATTGCCCCAAAGCAACATACTTGTTGCATGACTAATGATGAAGTCATCCTGTATCAAAACAAATCACTTTTGTAGGAAGGAGACTGCCTGTCCAGTTGACAGCATGAAATTAAACAAAGATTCTGATATATTTCCTGATAATTTTACAAGGAGGGAGATTTCTCAACAGAAAACAAAATGTCCAAACATAGTACGAGGTTGTCTGATTGAATTGTCACCATTAGATGTAGAATCTCATTTATTGGAATGCAAATACAGGTATATACAAAAGCAGGTCTAAAAATCTTTTATATTGTTTTGTACAAAAAAAAAAACATTTTTTAGAATACCCGAATTACCAGACAGTGAAAAACTTAGGTGCACGTTTGTACATGTAGGCTGTGATCAGAAATTTGAAGACGAACCCCAAAGACAACAACATTTGGAACAAAATATTCAACAGCATTTATTAGTATGAAATTTTGATATTTTTTGAAAACAGAAATATAATTATGAAATTTTCAGTTATTATCGCAAGCATATTCTAAATTTACAATAAATAGTGCAGAAGATAATGCAAGTTCAACTTTGGCTCAGGCTAATTTCTGGGATCCACCATCGAAACATGAGTCTTCTAGTGAACTAAACCAAGGTGATAATTTGCAAAATTTATTAAGGTGAGACAGTTATTCACATTTATTTACAATAATATTTTTTATTGCATAATATAATTCAAGGATATAATATATACTATGCAGGGTACTCCAAAAATTCAAGAGTCAATTTCTCATCAAAAAACATAGAAAAAAAATTTGATTGGGTTGAATTTTGTTATTTTAGATCATTATTAAGTCCCATTCAGAGCAACGTCTTGTCGCTGGCGACACAGTTTGACATTTCAAACAACCAATGAGAGCTGTATTAAATTTAAAATTGACAGCTGTTTGAATTTTGTACAAATCTCATTGGTTCTTTTGACATGTCGCTGGTGACATGTTCTGAGAATGGGACTTTATCCTTTCACTATTTGAAAAACTTCTTGAATAAACAAAAATTTTAGGGCTCTTTATGAAAAAATTGTATTTTTGGAACAAAAAAGTAGAGAACAAGACATTATAATAGCAAATATGTCAGATCAACTGACAAACTTTCAGCATAAATACTGTAATGGAACTTATATATGGTATTTCAATGACTTCAAAAATAAAATCAGAGCTATGAAAGAAAACCCTCGAATAATTCATTACAGTCCAGGTTTTTTCACTTCACCCTATGGATATAAGTATATTTTTGACATTTTCCTTTGTGAAATTAGGTTTATTAATTAGAAAAAGATTTTTAGAATGTGCATTCGAATAAATTTGTCTTTGAAGAAACCTGATCATATAGCAATATTAATTCACGTGATGAAGTCAGGACATGATAACACTTTAGATTGGCCCTTTACAGGAAAGTTGACCATCACAATTGTTCACCCTAAGTAAGTAATGTCATTTAGATTTCAATTTATGAAAATTTTGGGTTTGTACCAGTTTAAAAATTTATATTTCAGTAAGTCTTTCAAGAGCATCAGAGAAACAATGATGACTCGTCCAGAATTAGAAGCATTTAAGCAACCAATCAGTGATCTGAATCCAAAAGGATTTGGGTATACAGAGTTTGCTTTGCTGGACGAATTAATTGACGCGGATTTCGTAATGAACAATCAGTTAATAGTCAAAGTCAGTGCTCAACCAGTGTAGCAAGGTATAAATCAGATATGGATAAAATTTAGTGCAATTTCGAGTTTGTATTAAATATTCAAACAACTATTTCCATTTGGTCTTTATATCATTAATTATAAAACATGAGAGAACCTATCTTCTAAATGTATTTTTGTCACAGTTTAAAATATATATTATTGTTGATATTTATCAAATAGTTATTGAAGTATACAGTGTGTTTGAAATCATTTTTAATATACAGTATGTCCCTGAATTGTCTTTAAAGGAGAAAAAACTTTTTTATTATCTTGGGAAAAATACATCCTTCATAAAAAATTTTGGTTGTTCTAAAATGGTTAATCCTGTTTATATTTTTCCAAATTTCTATACCGTTTTAGAGAAAATTGATAAAACCATGAAATATACATACACCGGGTGCATCTCAAAAGTGGCTCACCCCTTAACTTTTTATTTTTTAGTTAAAAAAACGAGATTTGGTATGTTAGTGTACGACATAAATTAGGATTGATTGACGTATTCAATTGTTTTCGGTAACTTCCGGTTTCACCGGAAATGACTACAACTTTTGATTTTTAAATAGCACAAAAAAAAATGAAAACGAAATTTTATTACCACAGAAACGCGTTTTGATTTTTAGGACTTTTTTTTATTTTCTCTAAAATGGTATGGAAATTATAAAAGGAAATGGCCATTTTAGAAAAAGCAAAAATTGTTATGAAGGGGGTATTTTTATCAAGATGTCGATAATTAAAAAAAATTTCCTCTTGTAAAGACAATCCAGGGACATACTATATAATATTAACCAATTAATCATTGAGATGAAATAGTACTTAACATAATAGTGTAACTGCACTGTTGATATCTTTTTTATAAAGCAATATCAGGAAATGGTGAGATTATATTTATATAATTTAAGAGTATTATTGTTATACATACATTCCACAAGGAATTGTTCTGTGTTACTTTTTATACAGATTATATGTTAAATCTTTTTCCTTGCTGTATTTTTTTCCCTAATGATTCCATGAAAAACAACAAAATAAATTAGACAACAAGTTTTATTACTTTGAGCGATACTTTTTGCATTTGATACCATACATAAAAAAATATAAAATTTAACTATAATACAAAAACTTAAAAGTTGAATAAACAGAATTTGTGCACTATATAAATAATTACAAAATAAAAAGTTTACGTTTTCTTAGGACAGAATTTTTTCGTAAATGCAAACCTTTAGAAAGTTGCGAAAAGGAACAAATTAACTTAATTCTGACCTGGAAAACATTTACGGGCGTTTTCGAAAAAATTCTATGCGACAAATATAATAAAAATATAATATATAAATTCATAAACTATCTAAACTTTGGATTCAATCGAGTATTATCATTTATTGCAGACAGCCTTGGATCTTCTCTATCCATTCTTGTGCGGACGATGAATCTGCCGCACAAAAATTGTACGTTCGACGACTGGTGCGTAACTAAGAAAAGTAAAACAAAAACAATGTTAATTTTAGAATTGCAAAAGTCTTTTGATCGGGAGGTGGGGTGATTTTGACAGACGATGTTTAAAATTTAATAATTTACTTTTGAATTAAAGTGATAAACAGCCTCTACACTATCACCGAAATGTTTTACGAAATATTTCGTAAAATGCCGTGATTGGTTGTTTGTTTTTTATTGTTAACCCAGATTAACAGTAAAAAACAACCAATCACGGCGCATCTCGATTAATTTCGGGAAACGTGGAAACTCATTTTTATAACACGGGCTTATATTTATCGTAATATTTTGTGAAATAGCACGATGCAATCAAGGTCAAACGTTGTGGTGGCTTCAGAAAAATAAGTAAACATGGAAAAACTGATATGAAAACAGTTACCGATGGTAAATTAAATTGGTTATTCTTCGAAGGTTACACAAGAATATTTAGTTTTAATCATTGTCTAATATTATTAATTATAATATAGTAGAAAAAATATAAAACACTGACTAAGCAGCGGTCTACCATTTATCGGCTTATAATCCACGGTATTGCGCCTCATGAACAAAATATACACAAAATTATTTAAAAAATCGTCTAATTATTTATTATTTCTGGTTATGGTAAAGTAACATTTATCGTGGCTAACGTCATATTCAAGGCCTGACTGTTTTGACAGTTCTATCGAAGTGGTCCAGAATTAGTAGTCGTAAACAAACCAATTGTTTTCATTAGTTTCGCAACAAATCTGTGTTTGTTACGCGTTTCTATGCTAATAAAATTATACTAAATCATTTTGAGTGAATAGTGAACTATCTAGATCCGATTCATAACATCGTACCTGCGAAAAAAACCATACTTTCGGTAAAAATTATAGTAACACCGGCGATGTGTGTGTTCTGTGTGTCTGGGCTAGGAAAAAGTTGGGGAATTTATATAAAAACATAATTAATAGCGTTAGTGTTAGTGTATAGTGTTAAACCAACGTAAGTGACGTGTATTTTTATGTAAAACAGTTTTCGTTTCTTTATTTTTTACTTTGTGAAATAAAAAATTCCGCGACATTGTTCTGTGCCTGTGCCTTGTAGCAACAATTATAATAAGTCCTCAGGATCTGTCTACATTCTTTTTCCCAACAATATTAACTGTAACTAGGTCACGTCCAAAACCTACAGAACATGCTGTGCCTACAATTTTTTCAAATCAACCCTCTTATGGACCCTCTGTGCATGTTCCCATAAAGAGAAAACGTCCCGATGAAAGAAAACAAGATTTGGAAATTCAGGATGAAATAAATATTGAAAAGTATTATTATTATTATGAAATGGCAATATATTTTAAAGAAATTAAATGAATTTGTACTTTATTTCAGTATTTTATATAAAAAAAATGATATCTTTATCTTTTTATTTACGATTTATGGAGATGGTTACTTGATGAACATCGAACTACAAATTACTTAATGTTAATAGTTAATTCTATCTGATATCCACATTTTTTAAATATGTCAGGCAAATTTTTACAATTATTTTTAATTAAACTTTAAAATGTATTCTGCCGTTATCATATACAATACATTTTAGTAAAGAAAATTATAGAATTCTTTAGAAAATTCCAGAAACCATCGCCAGGGGGTATATAAGGCCCGCGCTTTGACAGTTGGACAAGTCTGAAGATAGTCTGAAGTCTGAAGTTTGAAAATACCGCGAAATACCGTTAGAGTAATAGTAGTTGCATAAGTTGTGTTGTAAATAGTATAAGTTGTGTGTACAGAGTGAAACAAATAAATTCGTTAAGTATTTTATCGTGAGTTTAAATAGTGGACCCACGGAATTCGTAACAATTGGTGTCGGAAGTGCGATTCAAGAGGATTTTAAGAAGAAATTAAGTGGATTGGAAGATTTTTAGACCGGATTAGAGTATTTTTATGGTTGGTACAAGGGAACAAGCGAAGAAAATGGAGGAAGTAAGCAAACTATTAGGCGATTTTATGGAGAGTATGAGAAGGGAGAAAGCAGAAGAACAAGAAAGACTCCGTAAAGAACGAGAAGAAGAGCGAGCCCGATTAGAAAGAGAAAAGGAAGAGGAAAAATTACGACGTCAAGAAGAACAGGACCGGCTTGAGAAAATGTTGGGTAATTTGGAAATTCGTTTCGAGGAGCGACATCGTAGAGAAAAACAAGAAGAACAGGACCGGCTTGAGAAAATTTTCGAAGATTTGAAAATTCAACGACAAAAAGACAAACAAGTAGAACAGGACCGGCTTGAGAAAATTTTAGAAGATTTAAAAATTCAGCGACAACAAGACAAACAAGAAGAGCAGGACCGTATTCAACAGAGTATCGAAAATTCGGAACGAAGACAAGAGATCCACTTCCAAGAAGTCGTAGAAGATCTGGAGGAGCGCCTTCAGCAGAAAATGGAAAAATTAGAGATGGACCTACAGAAGACCAAGGTACAAGTAAGGACACCTGGCGTTTCTGGAACTGCGAACCTCAAGGCACCGACCTACGATGGACAAACGACCTGGACAATATACCACCGTCGGTTTGAAGCAGCCGCCGCTGCCAACGGATGGACTGACCAGGAGAAAGCAGCGGCACTTGTCATCGCGCTGCGTGGCCCTGCCCTGGAACTGTTGCAAACTATTCCTGCAGCCCAACAGTAGGAATACCAAACTTTGGTCGCTGCACTGGACAGAAGATATGGCGACCAACATCGACGCCAACTTTACCAGGCCCAGATAAAGACACGCCTGCAGAGGTCCGGAGAGAGTCTGCAGGAATTTGAAGCAGACTTACGTCGGCTGGTACACCTAGCGTATCCTGAAGCACCGGAAGGATTTAGGGAGGAACTCGCTGCTCAGTGCTTTATCAGCGGACTGAGGGACAACGAATTACAGAGGGCGCTGCAAATATCCCGATTTTCTACCAGCAGCGAAGCACTGGTCAGGGCGCTAGAAATTGAAGCTGCTTTTAGCGCCATCCCTAGACCGAAGATAAGATCGGTAACGGTCGAGGAACAGCCCGGAAGTTCTCACATACGTTTGGAGGAGATGTTTAGTAAACTATGTGAGTTACTAGTGAACAAGGGTAGCAACAACACCCAGACAGAGAACCATAGAAGATCCCAGGACATAAGGTGCTTTAGATGTGGCAGGAATGGCCACATTAAACGGGATTGCCGCGTTCAAATGCGATCCCGTTCACCATCGAGAGAACGTAGGCACCAGGAAAACTAAAATCAGTCAATACTAAGGGGCGAGTATTGACTGGGGAGAACAGAGCCCCCAGGATTTTTTTCCATTAGAAGTCTAGGAAGAACCGCTGACAGTTTGGTGATCGACGGGAAAGTCAATGGAAAGGGAATCCGAATGACAGTGGACACTGGCGCTATGGTATCGTTGGTGCGGGCTAACTCAGTGCAAGGATTGAAGATGATGCCTCTTAGAAGAAGAGTGTATTTACGTACAGTTACGGGCGAAATGGCCGTTGTACGGGGAGAAGCTTTCATGGAATTGGAGTTAGGGAATTTGAAGTTTCGGCATAGCGTTTTAGTGGCAGACATTGAAGATGATTTTATCATGGGTATGGATGTGATCAGTCAACATGGTTTTTCGTTTGATCACCATAGAAACATCCTGAAAATCGGAAATGAGGAATTTTCTGTATCTAAAGAGAAGAGACCAGGAAATATGGAAGAAAGATCATCGAAAATTGTGATGATACCTGGTGATACCAAGAAGACTGTGTTCGGGAAACTAGAGAAAACCGCTGGGTGCCGTGTAGGACGGGTACAAATTATCGACAACGAGCCAGATCGACGACGAGCTGCTTTGGGCAAGAAAATGAAACATCGCGAAAGCACTATCAGAGTAAGGAATTTTAAACTAAGAACTGACGAACAATGGACGACGATACAGTTGAGGAAAGATCAAATGGAAGATCCAGCCATCGGAACAATACTACGGCTCAAGGAAGGTAACGGCGAGAGACCACCGTGGCAGGATATTGCGGACAGAGGGCTCGTTTTCAAAGCTCTCTGGGCTCAGTGGAATTCACTGGTGATTGAGAATGGATTGATAAAGCGCACGTGGGAAAGTGCGGATGGCAGGACAGTAACAACTCAGTTACTGGTACCAAGGAAGAAAGTCACCCAGGTATTGGAAGAAATTCACGGTGGTAAAACTGGAGCCCATCTTGGAGTAAACAAGACCTTGAGTAAGCTGAGAGACCGTTTTTACTGGGTGGATTATTGCGAAGATGTTAAGAAATGGTGTCAACGTTGTAAGATTTGCGCAGCTAGACAAAGACCAAGTACTCGATCTGGGGAAGAAATGGAACAGGATAGCGTTGGACTGTCGTTCGAAAGAATCGCTAGGAAGGAAAGATTATTGGACATTCATAAGGCCGTTAGAAGTAAGATTGCGCTAGCCAGTGACCGGATGAAAGCTCATTACGACCTCAGAGCTAATTCTACGGGATTTCAACAGGACGATAGGGTATGGTTGTATAACCCACAGCGCAAGAAAGGAAGGTCCCCAAAGTTAACTCCAGCATGGGAAGGTCCTTATACAGTCATCAAGAGGATAAATGATGTTGTGTACCGGATTCAACGCAGCCCTAGAAGTAAGATGAAAGTAGTTCATCTGGATTGATTGAAGAGATACTAGACAGGAAACCTTGATCGGGACGATCAAATTTGAGAAGGGGGCAATGTCAAGGTGTATTACTGGTTGCATAACTGCATACTGCTAAAAAATCGCAACGTGCATTGAGGAACCTGGCGCATTCGCCAGAAAGTAAAGAAAATTATAGAATTCTTTAGAAAATTCCAGAAACCATCGCCAGGGGGTATATAAGGCCCGCGCTTTGACAGTTGGACAAGTCTGAAGATAGTCTGAAGTCTGAAGTTTGAAAATACCGCGAAATACCGTTAGAGTAATAGTAGTTGCATAAGTTGTGTTGTAAATAGTATAAGTTGTGTGTACAGAGTGAAACAAATAAATTCGTTAAGTATTTTATCGTGAGTTTAAATACCGGACCCACGGAATCCGTAACAATATAATATACACGTGTTCAAATATTAATTCTGTGGAATATACATATATCAATAGAACATAAAACAAGATGTAATTAACGAAATATCATTGTAACAACAGCTATTTTAGAAATGTCTAGGTTTACTTATTTCACTGAGATTTATGAAAAAAAATCCTTTGCTTCGGATGCAGATACCGCCACGTTTTCGAAATAGCTCAAACCAAAACAAAATTGAACGAGGCAACAAAAAAAACGCCAAAAAATCCCCCCCACGCCCTCCTGGCGAGTAGTTTTCAGGCGCTTTTAAGAATGGGAAGTAGGTCGAGGTAAACCGAAGTGGGCCAAGACAACTTGAAAAATCGAAATGCGTCAAAGTAAATGCGACCTTGACATGTTTCGATGAGTTTTTGGCATAAAGTAGGCGCTGTTTTAGAGAAGTGTCACATTGGCACAAAAAAGCGTTTACACAGTGCCACTACCATGGCAGTGCTGGCGTACCATAAGACTGGCTCCAGCAACTGGATACGTGTAAATCTGCCTTATTATCTTTTAAATGGATTAACTGAAGAAACCAGAAGGTTTAGGTACATGAACATGATATATCGTTGAAAAGCAATTTTATTTGGGTTTTAATTTTTTAAATAATATTCATAGGGTTGAATTTCAAATAACAAAAATTTGAGCAATTTTATAACAAACGGAAATAATTATTTTTTCTGGCCTCCCTGTTTGATATCCAATCAGTTGATTTAGATAGATTGGATATTGACAATTTATGATTTAATCAATGCTTATTCAAGACCATGTTTTTGTCAATTTTACACATGTTTTATTTTTTATCTCGAAAACTATCAAAGATGTTTTCAAAAATGTAATAATGTACCAGGTGTTCGATTTAAAATAACAAAGATGTCACCACTTTTACTATGAAGTGGCAACGCTGTAATGCTGAAAATAATTTAGACTGATGGAGCAGGTGCCTTTATGTAAAAATCCAAATTTTCAAAAAAATCCTATCACCGGTTCTCCAAAAACGTCTAACGTGCCATGGCCGTGAATCACCCTGTATATATAATCAGAATTATTACTTACATCAAAGAATGATTTGTCATCAGTCTTTTTCGGCGGCACAGGTGCTGGAGTAGCCGAACTCACCGACATAACTTCTGCCAAATCTATGTAGAAAAAATACCCAATAATTTAGCACCTTTTTTATAGTTTTTTAAATCTCAAAACTAGTTAGAAATAAGAGATTTATGCAAACCAAAAATCCCGATATAATTTTTTCATTAACATACACACCTATGAAACCTTTACAGTGTGAATCTTCCATGGCGTCGTAATATCTCAGCTGATGTTTGATGGAATCCAGCACAAACCACCTTTGTTTCCAGCCCTTTAGCAAGGCTCCTCTTTTATAAAGATAACCTTCGTGAGTACGGTTTTCGGCTACGTTAGACGAAAATTGTTCATAATATTGCTGACTAGAAGTCTGTCTGGCACTCCCTAATTTCAAAATATAAGTTATTATAGTAAACGCCACGAATGTTTGGGAGTGATTCATCGCTTGGTGAAGTTAGAATCGACACGCGCGCTATCATTTTTACATTAAAAACGTAAATTTTTACCGCCGACGTAGGTTTTTAAAGGCCCGGTCTAATCATCTGCCTGCGCTCCTCCTACTTATTCTAAAATGTTAGCGTGAATGATAAAGACGATACTATATCGCGTTTCTTTGATTGATTCGTTTTTGTGCGTCAGTCCATTGGTGTGCTTGCAGTGCGACCAGTGGGGCATTCCAGTTTATATTTATAACCAAATATATGTTTTGACAAGACTTTGATAGTTTGCTGGAATCCTTTTTTAAGTAATTTGTTACTAATAAATATTTTTGTAATATTCATCAATAATAATAAATTTAAAATTTCATGCACAAAAACATAAACAACAGATTATATATATTGATTATTATATGACTTGAAACACCACGACACTGGAATTAAGTTTTATGTGACCTTGAACAGATTAGTTCACATGGTAGCGACCGATGAATCACTCGCAAACATTCGTGGCGTTTACTATAGGTATAAATTTATTTGTTAAAATCTCTAGGTCTGTTCCAACCTGCCGCAGAACCGTCACCAAACGATAACGCTCGTGCGCAGTATTTCAAATGTGTTCCAACCGAGATTTGACGGTTATCGGACGATCCTATTTGCGTACCAACCTACCTTGGGATCGTTTAGTTACGATTTCAGAACGGTAATTTCGGTACATGGTCCAAATTGTGAACTGTTTGGGTTGACTTGCGCATTACAGCATATTGGCAGGGATTATTGACTTTTATCAGCTGATTCTGGTTCGGCGTCCGGCTGATGCTTCTGTCTTGGTTATTTTTTACGAATTCGAATACCTGCGCGTTATACTTTTGCTTGTGAGTTTGTGTGGAGTAAATCGTTCGGGAATTTTCATTAATTTTTATTTGTAAAATAATGTTCAAAGATTCTATCACTGCAATGAAATAACAGGAAACTACGCATAACAGGATCATAAAAGAGACCATAGGTGAGTTAGTGAGTATACAGTTGAAACAACACTTACCAACAATTACTGGATTCTGATTCTCCATTTCAAGAATAATAATTATTATTGCAAATTCCAAACAAAAATAATAGGGTTATGTTATGAAATTCTAAACAAAGACAAAAAACCGATCGATACACGCACGCTTGACATTTTTGACAGTCCCGAAAACAATCCACAAAGCGTTCCAACGTTGATACTTTTTGCACCGTCACGAAACTATTCGAAGTCCGGACATGCTAACAAAGTGCAAGAAAACCGATTCGAGTACGATTTCGAAACGATCCCAAAATGCTGGCTGGAACAAACCTTCTATGACATAATATAGTACCTGAGCTGACAGATCCGTTATCCCCTGCGCTGACTTGCATAGTTTGCGACGTAGCCGTGTCAGATATTGCTTTATATTTGGTACAGTTGTTTGGAACACCTTCGGTACATTTCTCGTGACAACTATAGCCACAATCCATGCATCTCATTCCCGTCTAAAAATATCAGTTTATTAAAAAGAAAATCAGTAATTTCAAAAAATTATATTACCTTCACTGGACCCCATAGAAGATTTGAACACGAATCACAATGCGTCGGAGTGGTATAGTTATATTTTTCGAACCTATGAGGATGTGAATATACCAATGACGTTTCAGCCGCTCCTACCATCTTACCTAATAAATAACCTTTTATATTATGTCAAGATACTTAAAAAAATAGCCAGTACAGACCTCTCATTAATATTTCTAGGGTAGATCTTTTATGTACTAGTCTTCCATGTGATCTTACTAAGGCAGTACTAAAGGAAGCATGCCGCTGAAAATGTTTTTTGTAAGTAATACATTTTTCAAATGTCAATAAACGAGAGAAGTTGCCTGGTAATTATTATCAGATTAATCAAGACACTGTATTATAATACTATTATCGTTAGAAGATGCGCAACCTCATGGGCGATTTCGTGGCACAAAAGCTGTCCGAGATGTAGCTGGCGTTACCGTTAGCCTGTCCGAGAATTCCGAGATTTAATTTAGCTCTGCGCCACTGCGCGCTGATAGTCGTTGTTCAGCACTGTACCGTAGTTCTGCTTTCAGTCGACAGAGTGAGCGGTTGCCGGAGATAGTGTTGCCAGAACTACTGATTTATCCGTAGATTTACGGATTTTGGGTACAGTAAGTTAATAATACGGATTTTCTATCATTGAACAATTTAATATAATGTTATATGATTAAACAAAGAACGGCGTTAGAGTTGGCTTGGAAATGAAGATCGCTGTTATTTCATATGTAAAATATTATGGTAAATGACGATTTGTTTCGATCATACGACATATTCAGTACCTATAAAAGAATTTTTACTTTTGTTAATTATTCTATGTTTAACACAAATAAATTTTCAATGCATAAACGCGGATTTTTCATCCAAAGATATTTTTGTCAAACGTATTACAGATATTACACATTTTAATATGGCAATACTGTCGTTTTCAAGATGCACACCGTCTTCGATATGCTTTCGCTGGCCGAATTAGAGAAAATAAGTGTTTTATGTGTTGACTGCAGAATGACTGGTGTCTCCACCGTACAGCGTACAGCATTTGAGGCGTAAGGGGAAATAAAATCAGCCTTCTCACGAATTCGCTCATTAGGTTGCGTATCTTCCCAATTATTTCAATCAACGCTATTATCAAAATTATGTCGCATTTAATTATGCCCTACAAAACATCTAATATATTTTAAAACAAAATCTAAAATATCAAAATAACTCAAAGAATATTCCAAAAAAATTATAAACAATAGTTTCTGAAACTAGTAAATGCTTCAAAACAAACACAGCGAAATAAAAAAAAATGACATAATGGATGACAATGTATGTCTTGTTTACTCTTGTTTATATCTCAAAAAGTAAAGGTAGGACACACAATGACTCTACTATAGTCTGTACAATTCTCGTTCAATGTTACGTCATCATTATCTAATATCTGTTTTACAGAATCAACAAAATCAGTAACAGCGCGTTCCTATTTTATTAAGGCCACACAGAGTTTACCCTACCATCGGTTTTATATGACTACCTAGTTCTAGTTACCAGACAACCCTTATAGTTGATTGACATTTGATCTAATGTAATATAAGTATTATCATACAGTCAATGAATCTGTTAGGGGCACATCCAACTTATCCCACAACACCTTCCATTTTAGAGGTAAGTGTCCCAGTTCAGTCTCCAGCTTGTGAATTTCTTCTAACAGATGACTGAAAGCATCTGGCACCACTTTATTAACGCAGTCATATCTATTAAAAATTTAATATTGTTAGGAAAATCATAAGGAAATGACTAGCGACATCTCTCGACAATGCATGGAACGATCATCCTCTAAAGAAATATTTCTGTAAGAGGATGATATGCGATGAGGAAAAGCACTGAGAGATGCCGCTCAGTGACGGCGCTAATTAACTTATAAAATTAATAGAACCTTATAGAAAAGCTTATAGAAGGAAACCTAACCTCCACAAAAAGCTAGAAGTAAAATTTGTGAGTCTATAAGAAATTTGTCTCCAGGTCCCAAGGAATTGATTGGACATAATAGGAAATTAGTAGTTAGTCATTATTGTGAGATTATTGTGGAGTTATTAAGAAGTGTATTGTGGTTTTTAGTCGTTTAATAAATCAGTTAAGTGTGTTACCGTGTGTTTAAATATAAATACCCACGAAATCCGTAAAAAAATATGTTTTAAAACTATTTGTGGTTTATCCTAGACCACTTACCCTAATGTAACCACTTTCCTTGGAGACTTATTGCATCCATCGGCGGCTTCGGCTTCTTCCTCTTGCTGTGTATCCATCTGGATGATTTCCAGATCGTAACTGGGACCATAATGTAGATCTTCATCTAAATAGTAATTCCAGATCTGTAAAAATATTCAAATAGTTTAGTTTTTAAGGAATATAAATAATTTTTACCTCTAAACATGGAAGATAACTTTGTGGCCTCAATACAGGATGCTCAAAGTCTGGTGTGTACATAAAGTTGAAAAACAAAGGATTTCTAGCGTGCTGTTTCTCAATGTAGTCAAATATGCTTTGTCCTAAGTTAGTTCCTTGACTAGTACCACATAACCTACCGCCTAAAATATAAAATATATTCATTTGTATTGTACAGGGTGGCTCGAATTCGACGCTCATCATTGGAATTTCGGAAACCATAAGAGATACAGGATCGGATAAATGGAGGCAAAGTTGCGTAATTTGATGCTCAATAAAATGCCGTATTGCATTTTGAAAAATTCCGTATTGCATTTTGAAAAATTCCGAATACTTCCGAATATATTAAAAAAACGGAATTTTCAATTTTGTTTTCTATTGTTTTCTGGCTTTATTTGTTAAGATAACTTAAAATGAAAAACACATTTTCATGGCCACTTTTTCTGCTCTATAACTCTGTGTGATTAAATATTGACTCTGACGTTTCGGCTTCTGGCGAATGATGGTCGTCAACTTAATTTTTTTAAATACGGACCTGATTTTTTTTCAATTTAATTAAATCCTTTCATCACTATTAAAGCACTATATATAGAAAAATATAGTAAAGAAAAAAATGGAATACGGCATTTTATTGAGCATCAAATTGCGCAACTTTGCCTCCATTTAACCGATCCTGTATCTCTTAAGGTTTCCGAAATCCCAATGATGAGCGTCGAATTCGAGCCACCCTGTACAGTGTAAGCATTTCTTTTTGTACCACATTTAACAGGCTTTTAGCTTTTTAATTTTTTGAGCTAGCACATTCATTAAAAAATATGGCATACACTGTCAGATGCATTTCAAACGTCACAGCTAATGATATAATAGATAGAAATATATTATATACCGTATGATTGAAAAAAAAATGCGTTCAGTTGGAATGATGATCGATGGCATTCCTCATATAATTTTACATATAAAATGACAACGATCTTCATTTCATAGCCATCGCTGACTCCGTTTTTTTCGATCGTATTGTATATCAGAAGTAGATCACATTAGTACATTCTTAATGAGTGTTCTGTAAAAATATGCCTGTTAAATGTGGAATAAAATAAAATGGTGTTAAAAAATATTACAGTAGGTGTAAAAATAACAATTCTGTTGAAGCTAACTGATGTGTAATAATTAATATATCAAATAATGATTAAAGTACAATCTTAAATGTTATTTCTATACTTACTTTAACATCGCTGTATCAATCAGTATATTATTGTTATTTTTACCTGGATAAATATTTTCATCGTCTGACGTAGTATCCACCGTTTTATGATGTGAGGTTAGGGATCCTCGTTTGTCTTCGACTGCGGCAACACCGGATTCGACGCGTTCGGCCTCGCAATCGAACAAAAAAGTTCTAAACCTACACGATACCGAATGATATGCCAAAAATCTGAGGTAGTAATCGTTGAATTCGAACGCTAAAGGATACTGTTTTTGAATTTGGTGAACGACATCCAGAAATTGAAGAAAGGTTGGCGCAAAACCGCTTGCTTGGGAGTTCGCGTTTAAATTGCTCCTGTAAACATTAATTTCTATACATATATACTATCTATAGTCTGTAGAACCATCGTTGAACGTTACATCGTCATCATGATAAGTCCAAAATAACCGAGTTACTCCTTAAGTTTGAAAATTTAAAAAAAAATGATTTTTTTTTAAATTTTGAGAGCCACCGGATTTTTTCTGTAATTACATCCCTTTTAGTGCCGTAACCAAAGAGTAAAGCCGTAACTATGGTAATATCAGAAATTAAGAAATTATACCATGGGAAAATTTGCGATGAACAGGCAGTTCTAAAAAGTTTTCGAAAAATAAATATAGGGAAATTTAAAAGAAAATGTACAATTTTCAACATCTTTTTTTTTGAGAAAAAACCCTCATAGACGTGTTCCTGGGGTCGAAATGTCGTATATTTGAAAATATTGAACCCTGAAAATATTTGCACTTATTTAAGACTCACCCTGTATAATTATTCAATATGATTATTATTTACCTATCGTGTGCTGTTATTTTACAGATACTCCAGTTTTTGGTATCATATACAAGATAGTACACAAACTTTATTTGCAGCTAATACAACTCTCTGGCAAACTGTCTCTGGGCACCGAATATTAACTGTAAATTATGGCTTGGGTACACGTAATAACACAGTCCAAAATGCAAAATATTTATCATTTATATTTGACGCAAAAATTATAACCTATAATTTGCCAAATGAGAGTTTGACAACTCTCAAAAATTTTAAGTCGAGTTCATACACATCGGCGTCTGTTTGTCGTTCATCGTTCCGCTAAACCAATAATATTGAAATATGATCTGTCATTTTTGAAATAAGCCAATAAAACTGGTTAAACACAACAAGAGATGACGCATGACGGATTTATATATAAACCCATCCATAGTTAACTTAAAAAATATTAGAAACTTTTTTTAGTTAAATAAATGGATTGGTATGGACGTCATCTGCTTTTTTTCTGTCATCGTCTGTCGAAATTTTACTTGAGGAAAAAACCGAGTATATTCACGTTATGAATATCACCTCGAAATATTATGATATACAGTTCACCAATGGTTGTACAGACTTAGACATAATTATGTCTTATAAGTATGTATTTATAACAAAAATCTGGAATTCGATAAGTAATAATTAAAATATTTAAAAGTATTTAACACACATAAGGCACATGTATAGTAAATTTAAAGCCATTAGTGATGACTTCAGGTTAAAAAAAAATAGGCCTTACTTTTAAGGCGGTGTTGGTACTACACAACATACCTATGACTGAACCTGTGTCCATATCCAATCCATTCTTTTTCCACTAGAACTCTAAAACCCTCGATCGTCCTGTAATGCGGATCCAAGCAAATCTGCGCCACTGAGGATACTTGGGCAGTGATATCCCACCCGTCTTCTAGACAGATGGCTACTGAAGAACCTTGGAGATCAAGAAGATCTACTACTGCACCGGCCAGTTGCATTATGTTTTGTATTTGTTGCAGCCACTCTGAGCTCTCTATTAACCTGTCGATTATATCATAAATAGCTTTTGTGTGACATTATTACAAAGTTTGACCTTCATACTTATGGAAACTATGTTCTGGTTCGACGTTCTGCGAGCTAGGAATACACGCCCGCATCAGTTTCTTAAAGGCAGCCTTGGTATGTCTCACATCGTAATAATCTACTGGGATAAAATCGGTTTTGGGGGCGGAGTCGATTCTGATGCCTTTCATCTGGGCTTTTTCACCCAGAACGTATAAAGCAGCTCTATAACAAAGCATCGAGGATAAATGTTAATCATTCACACCCTGTCTAATGAATGGTAAGTAATTCTAAATTAAGTGACAATAATAGTCTATGAAAATCTTTTAATCTTTATATACCAACTATATTTCTAACACAAGCTGAATTTTGTTCTAGATTGTGTTTGCAAGACATAGTTTATAGTAATTTCTTACAATTTAGGCGCAATGATGCTATTTGTAGCATTGTCAAATATTTACCTTTGTAATGAGTGCACGCTATCTACAGTATTATCTAAATCGGTAGAGTGCCTCATGGTAGTTCTGTTTTGTTGTCCAGGCACTAGCGAAGCTTGCGAAGATTGTCTTCGGTCTTTTAAAGAACCCCATCTGCCGAAATTCTTTGGTCCCTTACCACCAGAATGCCTTGGAAATACCCTGAAAAAAAACGTTTTATTTTGTGGCAATCGAAAAATTAGAACCATATTTTATGTTATTATTTATTATTTATTCTACTACGGATAGTTGTTTAAAGGTAGTAAAACTAGAAGGAAATTTTGCAGCAGAACTTAAATTAAAAGTTACATTATTGCGAATTATCGAAAAAGACTGTAAAATAGTTGGTTGTGTAACGTGCGGTAGATCTCAGTCAAAAATCGAGGGAAATAATGGAATAACTTTTCGCTAGTAAGTTATATAATATATAATACATACATTACTATATAATATACATGCGTGTAGTAAACCGATCGTCTATGAAATTCACATAAAATTAACTAATTAAATTTTTTTCTTGCATTTTTGCTTTTATTAAGTATTTAATACTCGTCAAAGATTAGATGTCAAAAAATATAGATACGTCAATTTGACTTTTAGCTTGTTTCTCTCTACAATTTCCTGTCTCACAATGTACCGTTTCTGTCCGGGAAGGGTTCATAGTTTCACAGTTGTCGATTTTCGAAAGAAATCGGTACATGTATAGTATTTCGTATATTTTTCATTTTACTGATTTTATGGAAAGCACTGTTCATTAAAATGTTGTATCCTATGTTATAGGGCTTGTTTCTCTCTAGAATTTCCTGTCTCACAATGTACCGTTTGTGTCGGGGAAGGGATCATAGTTTCATAGTTGTCGATTTTCGAAAGAAATCAGTACATGTATATTATTTCGTATATTTTTCATTTTATTGATTTTATGGAAAGCACTGTTCATTAAAATGTTGTATCCTATGTTATAGGGCTTGTTTCTCTCTAGAATTTCCTGTCTCACAATGTACCGTTTGAATCGGGGAAGGGATCATAGTTTCATAGTTGTCGATTTTCGAAAGAAATCAGTACATGTATATATTATTTCGTATATTTTTCATTTTATTGATTTTATGGAAAGCACTGTTCATTGAATTGAGTGTTTGTGTTAATAAATAATTATTATAACTTATCTATTTTTACTAGAATATATTATACAGGGTGGTCCGAACTGTATCCCGGAAACTTCGGCAGCATATTCTACATATAAAAATAATTAAAAAAGTCTGTATAAATGTATGTTCTAAAATGCTTAGTATCGGAGATACAGAGTGTAGCAATTTCATTTTTATTTCGATTTTTTCCAAATAATTTCTAAAGTAGCGTCACTGTTTGGATGAAAATTGGTTTCTGGGAGTTTTTTGGCATGAGAAATTTTATTTTGATATCAACATGACTCCTATTTGCAGGTGGGCGCACCAACATGTGTTTATGGTTTTACCTGTTTTGAAGGGTAATAACTTTTCGTCCGTACCTGTATAAAACCACTGAGTGAAAAAATATACAATTTCGTGTTTTTTTACGTAAAGAGTATCTCTTGGTAAAAATCGCTACGAGCAACCGTTCTCAAGAATTTACAATGGAAATAGTCGATACATGTCATTACTGACTAAAAATAAACATGTTGAGTAGATAGTTATTTGACTGAAATGATAAATTTGGGAACTTTTTTTAATTAATTATAAATTTTTCTTCGAAAAAATGAAGATAAAACAGTTTCTGGTTGAACTTTTGGCACAAAAGCATTTCAAATTTATGATTTCAGTCCAATAACTATTTCGTCAACATGTTTAATTTATGTCAATGACAAGTATTGATTTGTCAATAACTGTCACAAAATACAACCTTGATCTTCGTTTCGTATGTTTTTTTATCACCAAACGGTGAAAAATTATAAATAAAATAATTTATGGATAAAAGTACAATAAAAAAATATGAATACGTATAATGATCATACCCTAATGTTCCAATAGCCTTATTGAATGGATTGGTTCTTCTGGCCACTTCAGGAGTAAGTGTGGATCCTGCCAAAGGATCTTCCGCAGCTAACATCAGCGAATCTATGCTTAATGAACTGTCTGACATGGCCCAACCTGGTCTGTGCGAAAATACCGGCGTCGCACCGACTAAAGCTGAAAGGTACTTCTCTTGTTCCGAGGAAGACGTCATTTCGGTGGAAGCATTCGGAGTGGGATGGCCTTTTAGCATAGTCATCACACTTTTTCCTATATAAATGGTTTATACTATCTATAGAGAAATCAATAAGAATTGGTGTGCAAGTCATCAAAGAGATTGAAACTACTACCAAATTAAATGTCTAAGAATTAAAAATGCATTTGAAATACTTTTCGCTTTTTCCTATAATCTTATATCTTGGTTAAAAAAAGACAGCACACTAGTGATGTGTCGGTATTGGAGTAACGCGATTTTGGAGCGGCATTTTTTTATAACGTCATGTCGCGCTTCACAACGAACCAGGAACCTGTTACTGAAGAACGACGACAAAATTATAAATTATTTACAATTTGCAAATAAATTATTTATAATCGCTCTTGAAGTTAGCTCGAACCGTAGTAACCGCATAGCGACGTGTTTAGCTTAGTGATGGGCAAAACTGTTATTTTTAGATAACAGTTGAAACTGTTATAGTTATTTATAAAAAACAGCTTAAAATAACAGCTTAAAAATAACAGGTTTCTTTATTTTACAGCTAAATATCTGTAAGAGTATGGGACGGTCACCGCCAGACGTATTAACGCAGTTGCAAGTTGCAACAATGACGTACTCGGTGGTAGTATTTCCAGGGTGTCAAAACATTTCTAAATATCGATTGTTATCTAAAATACCTCTCTAAAAACGGTCGTTGTTTACAAATAAGCGCTGTTTACAAATTGCGATATAAAAAAAAGCCAAAATTCCGCCACTCGTCTATACCTACACATTGCGATCTACCTACGCCCTGCCCCTCGATCCGCTTAGATCCTGAATTGCGTAGCAGTGTACAGGGTGCATATCACTCGACGGGCGAGAAGCTCTTAGTTATGATTTTACCATTTGCGGTCAAAAAATAGCAATATAAGAAAATGTGTAGTATATTCTTCATAAGTAAACCAACTACACACTAGAGTTTGAATTAATTTTACACTTAAACTAGCGTGTACCCGCGACTTTGTTCGCGTCGAATTAATAATTTTAAATGGTGATGATAAAGCAAAACAAGAATTTCCATTAACATACAAACTGGATAAAATTTTCTCACATTTGCCAAAAATAAGCTTTCTAACGTCGAGCAGTTTAAGCAGAATCGTGGTTAATCAATTATTCAACTTTTTGGAACACCCTGTATGATTTTTTAAAAAATTTCAAAATATGTAAAAAAAACAAAATAAATTATGCGTCCAGGCGTTTTCCCGAAAGACTAACCGTTTTTAAATAACAAATATTGTAATATTTGAGGGGCGTTTTCACCCTGTTGGAATTTGAGATTCGAGAAACCCCTCCTTATCAAACCTCAACCCCACAGTCAATCCGTTTGCAAAAAAGCAGCTTTAAACGTCCAGCAGTTTAAGCAGAATATTACTCAATGGTCATATTTTATGAAACACCCTGTATATATTTTTAAAAAAATCTTAAAATATGTAAAACAACATAATAAAATATACGTGTTTTAAGAGTTTTTCCGAAAAACTCACCGGTTTTTAAATAAAAAATATTCTAATATTTGAGAGTAGTTTTACCCCCTTAGAATTCGAGTTTCGAAAAATCCCTTCTTATCGAACCTCTACACACTAAAGACAATCCGTTTTCCAAAAATCAGCTTTTTACGTCAAGGGCTTTAAGCAGGATCGTGATTAATCAATGACCAGATTTTTCAAAACACCCTGTATATATTTTTAAAAAATCTTAAAATATTATTCTGAAAATTTTTCAGAATAAATAAATACCTAAATATTGAAACTTAATAAGTAAGTACTGAAACATACAGCGCCATAATATCTCGACCTCCGTCCGTTATGCTCGTAACAGGTTGAAACAGAATGTATCTAAAACAACTGATGCGTTATTCCCCAACCTGTTTCGAACCTCCATCGACAATCGACCGATGCAGCAGCGTTCCTTTCCCACACCGATTATCTCGACCGCCGCCCTGTTATGCTCGTAACAGGTTGAAAAACAACATATCTAAAATGACTGCTTCTCCAACCCGTTGCGAGCCTCCATCGACAATCGACCGATGCAGCAGCGTTCCTTTCCCACTCCTGTTATCTCCACCGCCAGGCGTTATGCCCGCAATTGTTTCAAAAAACCTGCTTCTTTTATATGCTATTATTTTTAAGCTGTTGTAAATACGACCATCGAAGCAGCTACGTTCGCCGTAGCGCTTTCCCCACTCCGTTGTCTCGCCGCCTGTATCGATGGTTGATGAAATAACATGTTTTCCATCCATACTAGTTGTTTTTTGGAATTGCTTCGAGCAGCATAGAATTTCGTGGTGATGCAGAGCGCCGACTTCGTGTCGTGTTTCGTTTCACGAGCGGCCGATCTCTACGTGTCGTTATTTTATATCTGTTATTTTTTAGAAGTAGTAACGGTTGCGTTATGTTATTTATAAATAATTGTTATAAAATAACAGATAGTTAAATAACAACCCATCACTAGTTTAGCTCCAGCCGTCGCGATTTCGTCGGTCGCCAACAGTCGTAACTGGAACTGGTATGTACGTAGCGTCGCGCGTGTTCGCTCCAGTCGTCGCGCTCCTAGAGCCGTAGTTCCGCCTGTCGCGAACAGAAGTTACTGGTAACTGCTGTAACTGATTATCGACGCTCGACCTCGGCGGCGACGTACTTCGCTCCAGCCGTCGCGCTCCTAAAATCGTAGTTCCGTCTGTCGCGAACTGGTCCCTGCTGTAACTAATTATCGACGCTCGACCTCGACGTACTTCGTTCCAGCAGTCCCTGGAGCGCTTCTAGGATTTCGGTTTTACCTGTCGCGATTTGGTTGGTTACTATTGGCGTTGGTGCTCCCGTCGCTACGTTACTTTCGAAATAGCGATTTTTGGTATGTACTAGGCATGGTATAAAATAGCGTTGTTTGAAAGATGAAACGCAAAAGCAAATAAAATAAAAATATTTTATTTGCTTTTATACATTTATATAAGTTTTTATTGACAAAAGCCAGTATTTGGGACGGTTTTATAGAGGGTATTTCTCCATCTCCAATATCAGTTGTATCTAAGTTTATGGCACGAATGGTTGTAACAGCTAGTAGAATTGTAAGAACCTGACAACACTGGTTGGGAGTAGGTAGGTACTAATGTCAGAAATACTGCATAAACGTGACACTTTGGAAGTCGGAACCTCGGTTACAAAATCGCGGTATTTTTCTGGAATGGTCGCTATTGTAACGCGAGTCATGTGGAACCGGTATTCCCATCCCTACAGCACACTGTCGCAGTAAGCAATTGAACTGGCCGATAAAAAAGGCTTTATGTTGGTAGTCATGGCAAATGTTGCTGATACTAAAAATATTAGCTAGACTTACCATGGTGTCCAGCTCCTCTTAGAAGAAGGGCTTTGGTACGCGGATGACGCCAGGTTATTGCTGGTATGCGTCCCTGCCTGTAACATCTGCAGAATCGTCTAATACTTTCGTCAGTTACTGTTGTAGGCACGACCAACAGCGCTGGATAGCTAACATATATCATTATTTTAGTTTTGTAAAAGAAAAAATCTACCTAATAAATACCTTCTGCACATGGAGTAAATAGAGTTGACCGAACATAACCTAAACTGATCTGGCGCTCCTTTACAATTAAGAGGGGAAGTGTTGTTAACTATACCTAACCTATAATATTTTTGGTTAATATAATTACAATAAACAAGACTTTATTAAAAAAAACTTTTATAGTATAGTCTCAAAATACCTTAGCTATACAGAAGCGACAATAAACTAAACTTACTTTAAAGTAAGTTTTAAGTGTCCCAATTTTTTTTCAAACACACTGAGAAAAATGATTTTTGAAACGTGATAGACTTATATTAACTCTCCACTAATCAAAATTTGACAACCGACGTCGTTAAAATTATAACTTAAAAATATTATAAATAAACTCCATATACATATCAAATATATACAGATTATCCCCTATCCCTGCAATGTGTTGGAGTTGAAGCCGAGTCAGAGACGACTAGATAACCGGTCCATGTATATTTCACATAAGTCCGTCTGGCGCAACAGCGAGCGCAACTCTAAAATTCCGAATATCGATTAGCCCTTACTCTGAGGATTAGCAAATTGTCGAACGCGAGCGCAAACGAAAGCCGTACGAAGTTGGACGGAGCTGGTACTAGCGTCTAGCATATACATATCAAATCTATATGGATCATCGCCTATCCCTGCAATGTGTTGGAGTTGAAGCCGAGTTAGAGACAACTAGATAACCGGTCCATGTATATTTCACATAAGTTCGTCTGTTAGAAAAACGCTGGCGCAATAGCACAACTCCGAAATTCCGAATATCGATTAGTTTTAGCTTGGCCTTGTGGAACGCGTGGTCGAACGGGAGCGCAAACACGATCCTCATTTCTGTGCCTCATTTCTTATTCAAGTGTCTTTGTGTTCGTATCGCGAACGAAAGCCGTACGAAGCTGTACGAATGAACAGCTTATGCTCTGATTGGTTTAGTTATCCGATCGATAATTAAAAATTCACGCTTGCGCACAACGCTTGTGCTTCACTAACTGAGCGAAGATTTATATACCCATTTCACCGGCTCGGCTTCACAGAATGCAGTTTGGAGTCAATATACGTTAGTTAATATATATATGGCGTCTAGTCTCATCAATGAGGTTATAAGGGGGGGAGGCGACATAAGCTATCGAGAAATGTACCCAGTTACGCCATATTGGTACTGGCAATTCTGACAGTTCAGTTTTTGAGGTTAAGTGCGTTGCTGCGAGTGTTTTTTTAATTTTCCAAGACTATTTTTGTGTTTTTATTTGAATATTTGGACTTTCCGAACATGTCTTCGTATGCTGTAAGTAGTTGTTGCAGTCGACAACGTGTAGAGAGGAAGAAATCATCTGAAATTGCATTTCACAGGTAAGTGTAAACATAATACAGGACCTGATGAAATTATTTTCGTATTTTCCATTTAACTAGTTATGCGTTTATTATTTAAATATTAAGTGTTTCTATATTGACAAAGTGTTTAGTTATTTAATACTTTGTTAGAGGCGATTAAGTAATTAAAACATGCCTCGACTTCTATTCTTGTAAAAAAAATTCTTAACAATATCTGTTATTTTTACTACTGTTCGGTCTTTTTTGTTATTTGAATATGGCGCGAACAACGACAGCGCCTCTGTCGCCAAGAAGTGAAAAGAGGGCGTACGTGACCAGCACCGAAGAAGAGTCAGCTGTTGACGACCGTCTAGATATATCGTATCGTATCTTAATTGTTAGAACTTTGTATTTTTACAATAAATAAAGTCATTATTGTTTTGTCTAACTATTGTCCTAACTTCACAGTTTAGAATTGACAGATTTCAGTTTCAGAGACAACTTCAGATTTGTTTCTAGAACAAATTCAGAAAATATTCGGCCGCCATTTTAATTCCATTCCGTTTTAGTTTCGTTTGGAAGTTCAATTTAATATTTCGGCTGAAATTTATAAATGTAAAGGTAATGAAGTATATAAAATATATATTATGAAGAATCCTGGAGAAAATGACGTTTCTGCAGTGAGTAGGTATATCCAATATATGAAAATGGGTAAATAAACTACTGTTTTACATTTTTTTAGATGAAAGAAATGGTGTTATAATCTCTTTGATCGGCGATTTTTTGAAAATGGAAACAATTTAATAGGTAAGATCATTTTAACTATTGCCAACATTAGTTATCTCTCGGTATGTGCGATTTATTGTCAATTACAATAAATCGGACTGATATCTGATTATATTATCGACTAAAAGTCTCTTTTTGCTTCTTGATTTATAAAGCCAGGTCTTTTTGGGAATAATGGACCTTTTTAAAACAGTATATTTATATTTTATACCTATTGATATTTTACATTTATTAATTTTAGTATAAAATTTGTTTTTCTGTTTTCAGGTTTTTTGTATACAAGGCTCCCCGTTTTCATGTTCCTGTGTCCGTTTTCTGTTCTTGAAGTCTGCGAATACGTGTGTTTATTTACAAATTACTGTAAGTCATGCCTACCTTAACTAATTTACGTTAAAGGGTACATATAATTAAGTGGTGGTATTGAACAATACAATCCTCTATATTTTTATATTTATTTAGTCACGTTGTTTCCCATATTTCAAATAAATATATGAATACAAATTATTTTTGGTTTATTTATGAAAAGAAAATACAAAATACATTACAGACTGAAAGGGCCCGCCATTGAATAACCAGAGCGAATGAAATTAAAACCATCATGTCCTTATCATGTCAACCTGTCAATTGGAAAGTTAGTTCTCAGACGATGGCAAGAGGCTTTCGGTGGCGTATCGATGTTCCACGATTTAACACAGGGGATTGACACTTCTTTCTAGTTAATTATTTTATGTACGTGACCAGCACCGAAAGGTCAATGATGACGACCGTCTAGATATATCGTATCGTGTCTTAATTGTTAGAACATGTTTTTACAGTAAAATAAAGTCATTATTAAAAATTCACACCATCTTAAAATATTTGTTGCAAATTGTACTCAACAGCACAATCGTTTTACATTGGTCCTTCGAGCCGGATAGAAGATCAGAAGAAAAAGCAAACAATTTCGAGTCAATCCAGTTTCCAGGCAATCTGAAGCTGGAAATCTATACAGTCGATCAATATTTTAAATCAAAGTAAGATCAGTCCTTAATCCTAATATCCTTTATTATCCTTTTTAAACAATTGAGTTAGAATAGTTTCATGTAATTTTCATACATTTTATTTGCATTTATAAACATACAACTTGGTACCTATAAATGAATTCATATATTCTCAAAGATTATTCAAAATGGCTGAAGCAGATGCTGAATTAAAACAATTAAAAATATTCGTGCTACACATAAAGCACAACTGACAAAGGTTTAGAAACTTTTTAGACAAGTTTAAAACACAAGATGTGCCAGATTTAGTTCAACGAGAGCTTCGAATGAATAGTTTAGAAGGCATTTTAGATTCTTTCAATACAACACAAACAAACATAGAGGCTTTAGATGTAGATACGTCCGAGGGATGAGCATTCACCACGCGGTGTAATTCTGAGGACAACTATTTTGAGTTAATGTCGATTGCAAAGAGGTTTTGTCATTACATGCAGTCCAAAATGAACCTAATGTGTCTATACACTCATCATCAAGTGGAATACAAGAGGCAAGTACACCTAATATAAAGCTACCACAAATTACTCTTCCAACTTTCGATGGAAGTTATGAACACTGGTTGTTTTTTCAAGGACACATTTGAATCTCTAATACATAAGGAACCTTCAATTCCTTTACAATAAACAAATTTCATTATCTTCGTTTGTCCTTGAAAGGTCAAACAGCAGACCTTCTTAAATCATTAGAATGTTCATCGAGTAATTACGAGGTAGCTTTGGCAGTTGTTAGTAGATAGATAGATGAAAATAAACAATTATTAGTAAAAAATCACATCAAAGCTTTATTTCAACTTGACTCAATCAGTAAAGAATCATTTTCTGGGCTACTTTTAACCTCTTAGACAGCATGACAAGACACTTAAGGGCACTTGAAGTTTTAGGTCAACCGGTTAGTTCCTGGGACGCATTGCTAATCCATTTGGTTTCATCCAAGCTAGATAATAATTCAAGACGTGAATGGGAAGCTGATTCTTCAAAACTAGAGAGTATAACTATTGCTGATTTCACCAAATTCTTACAAGAAAAATGTAAAATCCTTGAAATTCAGTCTACACAAACACCAACTTCAAGAAATATTAGAGGGATGTCAGTAAGTAAACACACCCCAAAATGTTGTTTTCTGTCAAAAGGAGCATACTATTTATAACTGTAACTCTTTTATTGCTCTAAATGTCCACTGCGATTATCAGAGGTTAAACGCCTTAAACTATGTATAAATTGTTCGAAATAATCATGTTGTAAAGGATTGTCGCTCTATTCCATGTCGAAAATGTCAGCAAAGACATAATACATTGCTCCATATTGATTATACTCAAAAACTCTAAAAAACAAAAACCTATTCAGAATAGTCCAGATCAATCATCTAATGGAGTCATCTAGTTCTAATCATGAAATAAATCAAGACAATATTAGATCAAATACTATAAACCTTTTTCTGTATCATCGTTTGATTATAAACCTGCTAATGTTTTATTATCAACCGCTGTTGTCAATATATTTGACAAGCAATGGACGAAGAAGTCATACATGTCGAATTCTTTAAGATAATGGTGGTGAAGCTAGTTTTATTTCAGAAGAGTTCTTTTCGAAAAGTTGAAATTACCTCAACAGCAGTTAATTTGTCAATTACTGGTATTGCTCAAAATCAGGCAAAGGTCTTAAAGCAAACAAAACTTCTAATAGAATCTAGACAATCAAACTTTAAAATAAATATCAACTGTTTAGTATTGCCAAGATTACTTCAAAAATCCCTTCATTTGTTTTTCGATAAATCTGATTTAAATATTCCCGCAAACTTAATATTAGCAGACCCATCTTATCATATACCAGGTAGTGTTGATTTGCTTATAGGAGCCGACTATTTTTGGGATTTATTAAATATTGGTCAAATAAAACTTGTAAAAAGACTTTGCCTATTTTGCAGAAAACTAGATTCGTTTGGGTCATTTCTGGTAGATTT